GCCTCTGGGAAGAGCTCTGGAGCAGGAATTGCCCTCCCAGCAGCTCCCACCTCGTGTCCCCTGCCAAGGAGCCAGATGGAGGTGGGCTCTAATCAGGTCACTGCAGGAGAGAGGAACCGAAAGACTTGGAGGAGGCAAGAACTGGGAAAGGCTATCACAGCTATTTTTGATTCCTGAAGAGGAGAGATTAATTTAGATCGTCTGGTGTACACAAGGAAAGAGAGGGAAAAAAAAAAAATCTGTTTGGAAACAAAGGGGCCCAGTGCTGACTGTTGTTCTGGGCTCCGTCATTAACTGCGCTGATGAAAAGGGAACAAACGGCTCCTGCATCATTACTGAGCCCGGGCTGTGGCACAAACTGCCCCCGACACGGGCTTTGTTCCCAGCAGAAAGGGAAGCACACATGCCCTGGATGCAGAGGGAAGTGGGGCTCTCATGGGGCTGATCAGGGCACACAAAAGTGCAGACGCAAGAACGGCGTCGCTGACGCGCTGCGAAAGCCAACGGCGCCTCGTGAGCTCAGCCCAAAATGGGAAAACATCCTGTGAAAAATTCACATTTATGATTGGCTTTTTGCAAATGTTACAGTGAATATTATATGTGTCATGTTAGAAAATTATGCTGTATTAATTCTCTTACGTAGTGTGCTAAGTGTAGTTTTAGGTTACAACATAATGTTAAAATAGAGACTATGGATGTGGGGGAAGTTTTTTTCTTTAGGGATGAGATACTCACTTTGAGGAACACCTAAATCTTCCAAAGGAGAGGAATTTATGGCTTCTTATCAGAAAAAACTAATTTCTTCAGGTCTTGCTCAGACTTGAAGACGCCATGGGGATTAAAGGAAACAGTTGACCTACAACAGAGTTTCTTGTTTTAAATAGAATGTATGCATAACCATGAAGGATGTATGAATATGCAACAAGTGTATTGTTTTAAGGGTTATTTCTTTGTTCACAAGGGATACTTTTCGTAACTTAGTGTCTGAGAGCATCCGGACGTCCATAATTCTTTGCTTTTTATTGTCTTGCAATTGTCCTAACGCTAAACTTTATTACTTTATTACTCTAATTGTATTATTATTGTTAAGACCATTTTATTATTATTAAACTTTAAAATCCCAAGGGTCACAGGCTGGACACCCAGTGAGATGATTTCTGTTGAATTCTGTCACTCTTCACTAGGAAATTTGGGGAGCAAACGCTCTCCTGAAGAGCAAACCACCAAAATGCCTCAAACTCCTCATCAGGCTGGTGTGAAGTGCTGAATGGTCAGGGTGCTGAGCTATAAAATAGGAGAGAGGGGTAAAATCCTGTGGTCTGGGTGATCTGTGCTCCCCTAGCAAATATTTGAACTTGGAAACGTTGATGGAAGAGCAAAGGAAGAACCTACAAAGGATTGTGCAGCTGGAAGAATTACAGAAGTTCACGTGTCACATTTTCAAGCTTAAATTTAGAGTGATCCCTGTAGCTGGTGGTTGTAGGAGGTGAAGGACCTGAATCATCAGGTGGCAAGAGTGGATTGGATCTTTATATGGATCTTCTCATTTTCTTGCTCCTTTTCTCCCATAAGTGTCTCAACATTAGCAGATTTTACTTTTCAGACAGTGGCTAAGGGAGCTTTGAGCTGGGTGAATTCTGAATGAAGGGAAACTGCTCAAAAGAAGAGCTGAAATACAGAAGTGAAGTGAGGTTGGGTCTATACATAAGACAGTTCCAGGGGTTATTAGCCCACTTCATCAGGCAAAGGTCGGCAATTTCTTTCTTGCCGTAGGAATCCTAACACAAACACAGTAAATGAAGTGAAAAGCGCATGGAAATGGAGTGAAAACCGCATGGAAATGAAGTGAAAGCTTCATTTAGGACTCAATTCCTTCGCCTCACCTCTTCCTGTCAGGGCAGAGAGAAGGAAGAGTTGATAACAGGGACGGGTATTGAACCAACCTTTCCCCTCCTGAATTTCAGTTGAGCTCAGGCTCTGCCCAAAGGCTCTGCAAATCAATTAGGGCTGACAAGGCCAGCTCTGAGTGCAGCACCAGGGCAAACGCTGATGTCTCAGCACTGAGAAAAAAAATCTCCAGCGTTTCTGACCTTGGGTGGAGTAAAACACTCAGAGCATGAGCAAACTAGAGGAAAAAATCATTTATTGGTGAGCACTAGAGTTGGAGAATCATCAGCTCCCTACAGCTGCTGGATGGCTTTGGCTGGGATGTGACCAGTTTTAAGATTATTGGGGAAAAACCTGAATTTCCAGCATGGTTTCCATCCTTCCTGTGAGAAGGTCCGTGGAATTTCTCTGGAACACCCAAATTTAGGGCTCATTCCTCCATGGGAAAATGATATTTGGTGCTGGGGCATCCACCCTTTTCCTTTTGGTGCTGATCATTCCCATTTATTTGTATATGTTTGTATATTTGAAACTATATATTATTTATAGATAATAATATATATGTAATAATAATATATATGTAACTGGTTTTGTAGCTATATAAAAATATATAATATAATAGTATATATAAATACATTTATTGGGTTTGATCCCTGTCAGTGCCACCTTTTGGGTGCAGGGAAAGATGGATTTTGGCTGACAAAAACTGGTTTTGGAGCTGTTTTCAGCCCTCAGGTGATGACAAATTGCTGTTTATTGGGATCTCTCTGATGGGATAAGGAAAGCCTTGGGGGACTTCAAACTTCCATTACTTTTTAATGGGAGGAACTTTAATAGAAAGGCTGAAATGCAGCTTCTTATTGCGGTGCCTCAGCATTTCTGGAGCCATAAATTCTCCCCTTGCCCCTCTATTATTACTGATGTATCAATTCTTTCTACTTCTCTGAGCACTTAAATTGAAATAAAATCAGGTTTTAGGCTTTATGTATTTTTAATATAATGAAATTCAGCTTAAAGTTGTAGAAAAACACTCCTTGGCGTGAAGTCCTCAATAAATGAGAGCAGCAAGAGGGGAAATGCAGGACTCAGTAAATCTGAGAGGGGGAAGTTCCCAGTTTTGTCTCTGTGGCTCCCTCCCTTATTTCAAATCCGCCCAGTTGAACAATCAGATGATGGCAGCTGAGCAGAAATGAAATTACAGCTGTTCCCAAGGCACCGTGACCCTGGCAGGAGGCCAGGCCTGCACTTAGAGGGATGGTTCTGGAAAAAACAGGAGCCTGAATGACATTTTTCAGATTAATACCTATGACATTTTTCATATTCATATCTATTCCTTCATATTAGTATCTATTCCTGCCCCCCAGCATGTTAAATTCAACTGTGCTCCAGCCATGCCCAGCCCAGGCTTGTATTATTCCCATTTCCCAGCTGAGTTTTGGGATCATTTATTAAGCCAGAAACAATTAAATCAACTCCTGGTGTAGCTGGTAATTATAAGGAAATAAGGAGTTATTTCAATAATCCTGCTGTTGTGTTCTGCTTTTCTTTTGAACTCAGTTTTTTAATCAGATAGAAATGGAAAATCAGGATGCTTGGAAGAATCTCAGCATCCAGATTTCCAAGCCTGGTGCCTCTTTTCCTTTAAGCCTTAACCCAAAAGCTTTATTTTTAAAAACTGCTCTCGCTCTGTGGTATCTCTTCAGAGCTTCTGTTCCATTTGGCAACTTTA